TCACTGCCACTCCACAAACGGAACTCCCAATCCACACTTATATATCATTTTGATTTATTGACCCAACAATCTCAAAAAGTATCAAGCAATCAAAAATATTTAAGGATAATTTTTAGGGGCGCTTCGGTAACTCAGGTGGTTAAGCGTCTGACTCTTGATTTTGGTTCAGGTTATGATCTCATGGTTCGTGAGTTCGAGCCTCGCATCCAGCTCTGCGTTGAAGGTATGGAGCCTGCTTGGGATTTTCTCTTTCCCTCTCTCTCTGCCCCTGCCCCACTGGCTTGCTCTCTCTCTCTCTCAAAAAATAAATACATAAACTCTTAACCTAATTTTTAAAAAGCAGCCTGAGACAGTATTATGGGTGTGGCATAGCCCTCCATGATGCTGAGACAGGGTAATTATCTTTTTGTGTCCAAAGAGGAGCTCTAAAAGTGGTCCATAGTTAGAGCTGGGTCCTCCCGGACTGAGTGAGGGAATAATCATGCATAAATTTTGGATGTGACTGGAGACTGACTGGTGGATGCCAGGACAGATGAATCACCACTGAAGACTGATGTTTACCAATGCTTGGTACTAAATAAGCCCCTAGAACCTAGATACTGCCATGTTAAGTTTCTATGTGGCAGAACAGAGGATTGGGGAAAATTTTAATTGCATAAGAATGACAATTTCTTGCACCATCAAAATTGTAGACTAGGATTTAGATCAGCTGTAAAAGTATAGGCTTTTTTTTTTTTTTACAAGTTCAGCTGAAGGCAGGGAATTGAGAGAGATAAAAGGGAAGGAGGAATACGAGAGGCTTTGCGGTTTTTTCCTTTTAAGTGAGAGCTTATGGGTTCACAAGAGGGATTTGGTTCAGTGAGAAAGACTAAGGATACCAGGAAAGTATCGATGGCATGAGGTTCCTGGGGCTAGAAAGGGCCCCACTTTCTTTACTAGTGGAAAGACAGAGCTGAGGACTGGTATAAATCCAGGTTAGCTTGTAATGTTCATCTTTCAAGAGGGGAAGGTCAGTTATAAGTTTGAGCAGAGAAAGTACGAAGGATCACTAAAGTGAGCAGAAAGAGTGAGCTGGCAAGCAAAAAGGTTTAAATTGTTGGGCAGGGTAGAGGGGCTGAGAGAAGCCATGGACGCTAGGTGCAGAGGGTACTCGATCTGATCTACGATTTTCCTCCGGTTGTGCTCAGCTCTTCTGGAGCAGGAATGGAGAAGACGGACGACTGGGGTCTGCCAGGGCTGAGATTATACTAGAAAATAGCTGCCCAGCGTCTCTTCATATATTTGAAAATCACATATCTTATGTAGCTGTTCTCCAACTCAAACAAATCTTTTCTTTTACATTTTATGATATTTATTTCTCCATCCCTTTAGTGTTGTCTTTATCTTCTCTGGCTCTTCTCCGGGTTTCCCATTTTCTTTTACACGTTAAGAGAGGCAGCACAGTGCCGTGGTTAAGATGGGACTTTTGGCGCCCATCTGCTAGGTACAAATCTTATGTATAGTGCAAACTTCCTGTGTCACCGCGGTCAAATCACATAGCACCTCTGTGCCTCAGTCTTCTCATCTGTAAAATGGGGGCAGTGATAATATAGTATCTTCCTAGAGAGTTGCTTTGAGGAGCAGATGGGGTAATGTATGTACTATGGTGAGCGTGACTCGTGGCTCTTATTGTCATTCAAAGGACACACTCAAACTGGGAGCAGAATGACACATGAAGGATTACATGCTGACCAATATTTAACATATCTCAATATTTCATAGCTTCTCTTTCTCCTTTTTATTTTATTATTTTTTAATTTTTTTAATGTTTATTTATTTTTGAGACAGAGAGAGACAGAGTATGAGTGGGGGAGGGTCAGAGAGAGAGGGAGACACAGAATCTGAAGCAGGCTCCAGGCTCTGAGCTGTCAGCACAGAGCCCGACGCGGGGCTCGAACTCACCGACCGCGAGATCATGACCTGAGCCGAAGTCGGACACTTAACCGACTGAGCCACCCAGGCACCCCTCTTTCTCCTTTTTAAACAAAATCACTATAATCGTGCACTCAATGTGAGGAAAGGTCTGTCTTATATTTGAGAGTCAATCTTTCTCCGTCTTTTATTCAAGGCATCGATTTCTGTCTCTAAGTATTTACAACCGAACCAGATTGGTTGCTGGCCTTTATCTACATATCTTTTGCTTCTAAATCCATCTCTTTTGATAACGGTTTCTGAAAATGTGACACCTTTTCTTCCCCACAGGTAGAGTCCGGATTAGGGCCAATTTTTATAAGCTCGAGGTCCTCAATTAGACTGTAAGCCCTCTTAAAGCAGGTACTGTGATTTTTACCTTTCAGTAGACTTAGCACCCAGGAAATTGCCCAATGTGAAGTAGGAAATAAAAACTCTAGATGATGATAATAGTGGTGGTGGTGGTGATGCTAAGTTCTCATCCTTAGTTTCTCTATCCTCTGACCATTGAGGAACAACAGAGGGTAAAGGAAGAGAACACAGGGCTCCAAAGCCAGACAGACTGGTGGTTCAAATCCTAGTTCTATCACTGACTAGTTGTATAGCCTCAAATAAACAAACAAGCAAATAACACTATAATTTTTTTAGTAACTTATTAGCATTGCTTTTTCTTTTCCCTCCCATTTTTGCCAACCATGACTCTTACAGGTCCTGACGGAATGGTCTCTTCCCCAAGCTATCCTGTTCTTAAAACTTCCTACCACTACCTACACCGACAGTTAGGATGGGACTCCTTTCCTGCCTTAAAGTCCCTCGTGCCACCACCTTGTCACTTCCAGTCTCTCAGATTTTCCCTTCACTCACCAGAAGGGTTATTCCACGCCATGTTTATTTTTAAATATCTTCCTTTGAGTTTTCTTTTCAGGGAATACCCCACTTTGTACATTTGCCTCCTTCCCCTAAGATCCCTAACTCTTTGCCATTATTCACAGTCGCTGAATTCCTATCCTCTGATAACTTTCCTAACTGGAAGACTTTATCATGTCCTCCCAAGTGCCAGACATGACTTCCATTTTCTCAGAATGCCAAAAAATACACAATTGTTTTGACTTTAACAGGCAAATACTGTAGATATACGTTAAATATTTGTTCAGCTGCATTAAGTCTGTGTGTGTGTGTATATATATATATATAGACACATATGTATGTAGACATACACACACACACACACACACACATATATATACACTAAGTGCTAAAGAGTAAAGATTATCTCATCTACTTTGCACTGCATTGAGTATAGCAAGATATATACAGATAATGTATAAACTTATGAACTTATGATTGTGATGATGCCTTGAGCATGGGGGAGAAATTAAATACCTTCAGCTCTGACAGAATCATATTTTTCCATCTTTGATTACAAAATACACCCACCTATCACACAGAAGTGTAAAAAATAATTAACATCTTTAAATGCAAGAAAAAAAAGGTGGCTATTTCACATTGAAATTTTAACATGATAGCTGATGTCATTTCATATCTAGTTTAAAGTACTCATTCAATGAAGGCTGTGAAATGTTGAAGGCAAGAGGAGCAAGTGGAGGGAAGGAAAGAAAGAGGGAGAAAACAGTATGTTTCAAAATTCCGAGTAAACGATTCTGTGAACGGTGGCATTTAATGTGCAAAATTTCAGACACACAAACCTGGAATTGTGCTTTTGAATTTTAAGAAGCGTCTTTGTTTTAGGGGCTCCTGGGTGGCTCAGTCGGTTAAGCGACCGACTCTTGATTTCAGCTCAGGTCATGATCTCACGGTTCATAGGTTCAAGCCCCTGCATCAGGCTCTGCACTGACAGTGTGGAACCTGCTTGGGATTCTCTCTCTCCCTCTCTCTCTGTTCCTCCCCACTTGTGCTCTCTCTAAAAACAAATAAATAAATACCTTTAAAAAAAGAAGCATCTTTGGTTTTCACATTTCTGAAAATATTTCCAGCTTGATTGAAGTTACTTTCTGACCTTATGCCCAAATTATTAATATTCTATTATATGCAATAACACCACATCTATTCTCCCTTTTTAATAATGTTAGTTTAGACAAATCATGTCTATAAAAGCAATGATTCATTTTTTTTCATAACTATAACCAAACTTCCAAATGTAGAAGGGTATGATGCCCTTGGAAAGCTCTACGCTTATTCTAAGAATACAGCCACTTCTCAAAATATTTTTAGAATTCTTCATTGTACTCATCTTCAGTTAGCCACATAGGAAAGCCAGTCTTGTTACTTTATAGAGCTCTCATTTTTATATATATATATATATGAAAAAGTGTCATTACTTACCTGATTCAATCAACTTGACTTCAAGTTATATTTTTGGCTGCATCTGAAAATCAAATTTACCTCAAAAGGCAACGATCTTCTACTATGAAAGTTATTTTTTAAAAATGTAAAAGCACTCTGCGAACAGCATCCCCCATGTGATTAGAAACAAAAGTATCAGGTTAGAGTAAGGGTAAAGCCTCAAGACTTCCCAGGGCAGATAATTTGGGGGACACAATGAGGGATATTCATTTTTTTAAGTATAATTTTGGAGTACATTTATAAACAGCCACATTTCTTTATTGTCATACTTCGATCTGCCCTTCAGATGGTTGATTTCATGGTAATAAGCTACCTTTCAAAATCCGAAAATGGTTTAAAATGGTCTATGAATATAAAATTTCCCACAAAGATTATAGGGACACGGGTGCGAGGAAGCGCACCAAAACGTGTAAGGACAAGAATTTTTCGTTCCCAACCTAAGCACCCAAAGCGCGTGTCAGAGGTGCAAGTTCTAAAAATCTCAACTTTGGTGAATTCTGGTGATTTAGGGGAGCCTTCAAGTGATTCTGAGAGTCTCCATCCTTTCCTGAAACTCTCTGTATTTGAACAAATCCTGGTTGCATTCAATGATTTTGTTTGTTTCACAGTGTGATTCCTATAATAAGAGCTTTTCAGTAATTGTGAATGTTATTTTTCTCATTTTTGGCACTTACAGTTCACAATGCTTGGTTGTGTGGTTTAATATTTTAATTTTTGCATTTTACACTTGGCACTTTTGAAGAAGGGCACATTGTCTTGTATGTTGTTTGGGGGAAGGGGTAAGCCTCCCCCTCTGTCTCTTTTTTAAATGTTTGGCTTTATGAAATACACGATTCTCCCCAGAATCCCTTATCATCAAACGGTGCAGCTGAAAATTTGCCTTTACAAGCTGTGAATCCCAACCTTTCTTAGAGGCTGGTGTCCCCAGCTTCAGACTTAGGCTGTTTGACCGCTGCTGTCACTGGTTCTAGGGGCCCCTCCCTGCAGAAAAGCACAACTGGGTTTTTTCGAGCCCACATGACCACGTCCCCTCCCATCCCGCTGGACGGGTTGGAAGAGGACATCCTGCTGAAGGCTCCCAGCCGGTTGGCGTAGCGGTTTCGAAGGCGATTGCGGCTTCTGGCCTGCAGACCGGGGCCCTGGTTGGGCAGGAAAGCGTCCACGTTCCTAGTCCGGTAGCCCTCTTCCCGGTTGCGCCCCAGGAGCATCGAAATGTTGGGGTTGCGAATGGCGTAGATGACAGGGTTGATGGCCCCATTGGCCCAGGTCAGCCAGACGGCCACCACATTGAGGAGCGAGGGGGCTTGCGCGGCCTGGGCCTGCCGGGCCGCAGCCAGCAGCACCAGGAAGCAGTAGGGCCCCCAGCAGCAGATGACGAAGACGATCATGATAAGCACGGTGGTGGCCGTGCGCACCTCGCTGAAAAAGCGCAGCACGCGCGCGTACGTGGTCAGAGGCCGCACGCGCACGTCGGACAGGCGCACCGTCTTGCAGATGTGGTAGTGGCAGAAGCACATGAGCAGGAAGGGCAGCAGGTAGCAGGCCACAACCAGCCCCACGCTGTAAGCCGCGCCCAGCTGCGCGGGGTCCGGGGACGTCCGGTACAGGCAGCCGTGGAAGCTCTGGGCCGCCGGGGGCTCCCGGGGCGAGCGGAGCAGCTCCCAGGGCAAGGAGAAGCCCAGGGCCGCCAGCCAGGCGCCCGCCAGCAGCTGCAGCGCGCGGCGGCGACCGATCTTCTCCCGCGGCGGCCGCACGATGGCGCAGTAGCGGTCCAGCGAGATGAGGGCCACGCTGAGCGTCGACACGATGCCGAAGCACGAGCTGAAGAAGCGGCTGGCGGCGCAGAAGCCGCGCCAGGGCCCCGCGGCGGGGGCGACGGGGGCGGCGGCGGCGGCGGCGGCGGCGGGGACCGAGCCCCCTGGCGGCGTGAACAGGTCCAGGAAGGCGGCGGGCAGACAGAGCAGCGCCGTGAGCAGGTCCGACAGGGACAGAGACGCGTGGCCCTCCTCTCGCTGGACCG